TATACATACATACATAAAATATTTTTAAAAATTGTTTCCACCTTCTGTCCGAGAACCGTCTCAGTCCACCTATCTGCTGGGGCTCAGTGGCTCGGGGTCTGGCTTTGGGAGCAGGCGAGGCCGGGGGTCAGGGTCCGGCCTCGCGCACTTCTTCATGTCGGCTGCTCGTGTGCTCCTCCACGGCAATTAGCTCGCCCCTAATTTTGTTGTCGGTCACCAAACACAAAAAACACCAGCACGTCAGCGTTAGACCACGGTGTTGTCATTATTGTTTTTAAAATCTTAAAAACAGGTCCAGCTTCTGCTCCGAGCTTGAATAATGGTGGATCGGGGTGTTGTGAACGTTTCTCAAAGAACCACCCCCTGACCAATCAGTGACCGGCAGTGTTCTGACGACGTCACGTTTTGGTGCCAGCTCGGCACAGTTGGAACCCTCGAGCAATGGGTCCTGAAAACAGGGCCAGTTCCACAAAAACTTGCTTCGACCTGTGCAGAGCAGAACCGTGTGGAAGAGGAGCTATGGAAAAGGATCAGAACACTTCCAAGCAATCACGAAAATGCTGGAGACCTGAGTAAATAATAAAAAAACAATAATACCATTTTCTTTCATTTGTTCTTCTCAATTTATATAATTTCTTTGATGATTTTCTACTGTTGTCATGATTCTTTGTTAAACTCTTGTAAATGAGTCCCCGTGGCTCATTGACACTGACCTGTAGAAATAAAGGTTGAATTTAAAAAATAAATAAATACTGATTTAAAATGAGTGTGAATTCTTTAAGACGCAACAACTCTGAAAACAAACACTTCTCGCAACTTTCTTTCAATTTATGTCGGGTTTAACACACTTTCCATTTCACCAATAAATTGAGTTTGTTTTGGGGATTTCACTAAAATAATAAACTGTTTCAGAAATCCTGAACAGGTTTGGTTGATTTAGCTTTTAGTATAAAATAATTATGTTTAAACTGTCAAGAAGAACTGAACAACCATTGTGCTCTCACACACAAATAGTTGGAATAGCACTTTACGGAACTGTCGCACGGTTTCTGTCCTTCAAGGTGGAACCCAAACTTTACGCACTGTGGCGTAATCACCCCCGCATGCGCGCGCGCGCGCGGCACACACACACGCTGCAGGGTGTCTCGGCCAGTACTGGACCAGATGTTCTCACGTGCCGTGTTATAGACACAGCTTTTGGACCCGGTCCTTGCGGAGCGCCGATCCGGGTCAGGAGGCCACCGGTTTCCGCATTCCCGCAGCGCGCACGGCAGGTGCGGGACCAAGATCCATGATGTCAACAGAAAAACCGGTCGGTCCGGCTCATCTCCCCGGACTGGTCCCCGGCACAGACGGGACTGGGCCTGGCAGGCTGATGGGGGACTGAGGACTGCTCGGTCTTACATGTCCCGGGATGGAGAGCTGCTGTCGGTCCTGTTGTCCCTGCTTGAGGCGCCTCTGGAACCGGATCTGGCCCGAGGATCGCTACCCGAGCGGCGCGAACAACAACCACATGGTCATCGCGAACCCGGCCCATGTGTCCGAGATCCGAACCGTGTCGGGCGACGTGCGCGTGCCGTCGCCCCAGAAGCGTCCGGTCCAGCTGTACGCGGCGCTGTATGACTTCGAGGCCCGGAGCGACGACGAGCTGTCGGTGAGGGAGGGGGACAAGCTGTCGGTGATCGAGAAGAGGGGGGAGTACGTGCTGGCCACCAGGCTCACGGGCTCTCGGCAGTCCGGACTCATCCCGGCCAACTACGTGGCTCTGCTGCAGGACGAGTTCGCCAAACACAAGTGAGTGTTCCGGACCGAACGGGTTCTGGTTGTTCGGGAGAGAGTAGGACCATGATGTGTGACGTCATGTGAGCGTCTCTCACCGTGAACAAACTGATCTGTCCGAACCCCAGCGTGCGCTGATCAGAACCAGTTACACAGTTAATGAGCTCACTGGTGTTGGACTGATCCCAACACAAGCACTGAGTACCAACAAATATATATATATATATATATATATATATATATA